GAAAGCGGTACCACAATAGTCAAATGTCCTCGCTCTCAGCATTCACAGCTGACCAATGGGTCATGGACGTTTGTAATGCCACTTAAAGATCTGATACAAATGTTTTAAAATGCTGGAAATATCATCGTGTTTATTGCCACTTTAAAATCCAAACCTTAAGTTTGAAAATGCATGATGTACTGTCGTTTACAAACCCCTGTACAATAAGATTATCTTTTTGGTTGCTTCAACAAATTATAAGGTAAAAAGGGTCTGCCCTATGTTAAAAGTTAATCAGATTACATCTATGTCGTATGTATTACAGATTAGCGTAATGTTTCTCTTTACAAGCATCAGCCGGCAACGTTGTTGGCCTGCTTTCAACTGCACTGCTTCTCATGTGGCCGCCTCCTTCGCCAAAGCCACCACCACCAGCGTGCCCTTGCTGCTGCTGATGAGCAAGATTCAGGGCGAGAATCAAAACTTAAGTTGAAACAAATTCTCTGTAGCTAAGCCATTGCAAGGTCCAGTGGCTAAAGAAAATAAACACTAACTTTGGCAGTGCGACCATTTGCACTTACGAAGATGGGAAGTGGCCAACTCAAGGGAAACTCGTTACAGCATTACGATCATTAGCACCAGATGTAATGAACTTAAGGCATACCTGTCAACCCCTGATCAGTGCCCTATCTTATCACAGACCATTCCAGACCTTATTGATCATCCAGTGCCCCTTTTAAATCTCAACGTTCGTCCTACAAAGAGCCATCACAAGGGAGAAACACAAACAAATAGACAAAAACATGTTTTTCCCTCCTGTACAAGAATACGGGTAACCCGTATAGGTTGACGATTTCACAAATTGTCTGTGCTGCACAATGAAAAACATTGCCAATTCAAATGAGCCAGGAAAGTGAACACAAATCCCATCATCGAAGGTGGGCAAACCGGTTCAACTCCCTCGGGGAATACCGCTTTCAACTGGACCCGCCACACACGTGCACACAAGCTAAACTATTTTCGAACAGTCCAGTCCAGAGAGAAATAAGTAAAATGAAGACATCCCACGGATATATCATTGTCAACCCTTGACGATTAGCGCGCAGCAATCCCATTGTGATCGTGTTCGTTACGTGCCGAGGAAAGGCAAAGGGCAGTAGCTATTCCACTGCTAGAGGTGGGATTTGTTTGCTCATAAGAACGACAGTGGGTGGTGATGTGCACCAGATAGTTCTAGGAAAACTGCGACAGGCACAACAATGGGAATTGGTGTCAACGGCACACGAACGGTGTGCCCCCGAGTGTGTGATGAGTGTGTGTGTGATGAGGGTGTCGGTGTGATGTGTGTGTGTGATGAGTGTGTGTGTGTGTGATGAGTGTGATGTGTGAGTGTACCATGTACTTAAGTGTGTGTGTAGTGTGTGTGTGTACTAAGTGTAGTGTGTGTGTACTAAGTGTAGAGTGTGTGTAGCGTGTGTTGTGTGTGTGCGTTGTGTGTGTAGTGTGTGTGTAGTGTGTGTGTGTACGTGTAGTGTGTGTGTAGTGTGTGTAGTGTGTGTGTGTAGTGTGTGTGTGTACGCGTAGTGTGTGTGTAGTGTGTGCAGTGTGTGTATAGTGTGTGTGTACTAAATGTAGTGTGTGTGTGTAGTGTGTGTGTGTAGTGTGTGTAGTGTGTGTGTGTAATGTGTGTGTGTAGTGTGCGTACGTGTAGTGTGTGTGTAGTGTGTGTGTGCAGTGTGTGTAGTGTGTGCGTGCAGTGTGTGTGTACAGTGTGTGTGTAGTGTGTGTGTGCAGTGTGTGTGTAGTGTGTGTGCGCAGTGTGTGTAGTGTGTGTGTGCAGTGTGTGTAGTGTGTGTGTGCAGTGTGTACGTGTAGTGTGTGTGTGCAGTGTGTGTAGTGTGTGTGTGCAGTGTGTGTGTATCTATGGGCAGCGGTGGTGTAGCTGTTAGCACTACGCTGCGCTACGAACCCGGCCACCCGAGTTCGATTCCCGCTCTCGGCCAACACCATCAGTGACGATAATCTGAACCGGTCTTGGGCCTCCCCTAGGTCGACTCGGCCTCAAATGAGTACCTGGTGTGGTGTGTAAACAACACCATTGGGGAGACAAAGGCGGCCGGGCGTGGTGCTGGCCACCCATACCGACCTCCATAGGTGCTCGCTAACAGCACTTGCCCCACCAGTCTGTTAAGGCTACACGGGGGATCTTTGTCTTTGTATCCATGCATACGGTGTACACTGTGTGTGGGTTGTACCAAGTACGTCTCTTTGTTGAACGTGCGTGTTGTGTCTCTATACAGGTACACGTATATACAGGTACACGTGTTGTGTGTGTGTCTCTAAGCAGGTACACGTATGTGTGTGTCTATACAGGTACACGTGTTGTGTGTGTCTATACAGGTACACGTGTGTGTGTCTATACAGGTACACGTGTGTGTATACAGGTACACGTGTGTATGTGTGTATACAGGTACACGTGTGTGTGTATACAGGTACACGTGTGTGTGTGTGTATACAGGTACACGTGTGTGTGTGTGTGTATACAGGTACACGTGTGTGTGTGTATACAGGTACACGTGTGTGTGGTACACGTGTGTGTACGTGTTGTGTGTGTATACAGGTACACGTGTGTGTGGTACACGTGTGTGTACGTGTTGTGTGTGTATACAGGTACACGTGTGTGTGTGTATACAGGTACACGTGTGTGTGGTACACGTGTGTGTGTCTATACAGGTACACGTGTGTGTGGTACACGTGTGACCGTGCGGGTGTTCTGTGTCCAGTGCAGGGAGATTGCACGCGTGCTTGTGGACTGTACAGGACTGTACCCTGTGTGTGTGATGTGTGTGGTGTGGTGGTGTGCGGTGGTGGTGTGTGTGTGATGTGTGTGTGATGTGTGTGTGTGTGGTGTGATGGTGTGCGGTGGTGGTGTGTGTGTGTGTGGTGTGATGGTGTGCGGTGGTGGTGTGTGTGTGATGTGTGTGGTGTGGTGGTGTGCGGTGGTGGTGTGTGTGTGATGTGTGTGTGATGTGTGTGTGTGTGGTGTGATGGTGTGCGGTGGTGGTGTGTGTGTGTGTGGTGTGATGGTGTGCGGTGGTGGTGTGTGTGTGATGTGTGTGGGGTGGTGGTGTGCGGTGGTGGTGTGTGTGTGTGATGTGTAGTGATGTGGTGGCGTGCGGTGGTGGTGTGTGTGTGATGTGTGTGGTGTGATGGTGTGCGGTGGTGGTGGTGTGTGTGATGTGTGTGGTGTGATGGTGTGCGGTGGTGGTGTGTGTGTGATGTGTGTGGTGTGGTGGTGTGCGGTGGTGGTGTGTGTGTGATGTGTGTGATGTGGTGGCGTGCGGTGGTGGTGTGTGTGTGATGTGTGTGGTGTGATGGTGTGCGGTGGTGGTGTGTGTGTGATGTGTGTGGTGTGGTGGTGTGCGGTGGTGGTGTGTGTGTGATGTGTGTGGTGTGATGGTGTGCGGTGGTGGTGTGTGTGTGATGTGTGTGGTGTGGTGGTGTGCGGTGGTGGTGTGTGTGTGATGTGTGATGTGGTGGCGTGCGGTGGTGGTGTGTGTGTGATGTGTGTGGTGTGGTGGTGTGCGGTGGTGGTGTGTGTGTGATGTGTGTGGTGTGGTGGTGTGCGGTGGTGGTGTGTGTGTGATGTGTGTGGTGTGATGGTGTGCGGTGGTGGTGTGTGTGTGATGTGTGTGGTGTGATGGTGTGCGGTGGTGGTGTGTGTGTGATGTGTGTGGTGTGGTGGTGTGCGGTGGTGGTGTGTGTGTGATGTGTGTGATGTGGTGGCGTGCGGTGGTGTGTATGTGATGTGTGTAGTGTGGTGGTGTGCGGTGGTGGTGTGTGTGTGATGTGTGTGGTGTGATGTGTGATGTGTGTGGTGTGATGGTGTGCGGTGGTGGTGTGTGTGTGATGTGTGTGGTGTGGTGGTGTGCGGTGGTGGTGTGTGTGTGTGTAGTGTGGTGGTGTGCGGTGGGGGTGTGTGTGTGATGTGTGTGGTGTGGGTATGATGTGTGAAGGGTGTGTGGGTATCGTGATGTGGTGGTGTGTGGTGATGTGTGGGTGTGTAGGCGTGATGTGGTGGTGTGTGGTGATGTGTGGGTGTGAAGGGTGTGATGGGTGTGTGGGCGTGATGTGGGTGTGATGTGTGAAGGGTGTGATGGGTGTGTGTTGTGTGTGGATGTGTGTGAAGGGTGTGTGGGTGTGATGCGTGTGGGTGTTATGGGTGTAGTGTGTGTGTGCGTGTGTGTCTGTGTGTGTGTCTGTGTGTGTGGTGGGGAGCGGTGGGGTAGTGGTTAGCGCTACGCTGCGTTACGAACCTGGCGACCCCAGTTCGATTCCCGCTCACGGCCAACACCAGTGACGATTACCTGAACCGGACCTGGGCCTCCCCTAGGTCGACTCAGCCTCAAATGAGTACCTGGTGCGGTGTGTAAACATCGCCACTGGGGAGACAAAGGCGGCCGGGCGTGGTGCTCGCCACCCACCCCCTCGTGTACCGTACCAGCCTTCATAGGTGCTCGCTAACAGCACTTGCCCCTACAGTCTGTTAAGCCTATACGGGGGATCTTTGTATTTGTCTGTGTGTGTGTGTCTGTGTGTGTGTGTCTGTGTGTGTGTGTCTGTGTGTGTGCCGTCGTGCACAGTACACGCGGCTGTCCTGTCTGCGTGAGCACGCGTGTGCACTGCGTTACACACTGCAGTCTACCATCGTGTGCATCGTGTGCTATATATAGCGTGTATCCTGCATTGTTAGTGTGTGTCCAATACAAGTACTGTACACTATTGTGTTTTTACGTAGTGTATATCTTTACGCAGTGTATATGCACGTTCATTTGACACCACTCCTGTGTGTATACACCCAGCCGTGTAACGTGTAAGTAAGGAACAGCATAACTATTGAACAATCTTATAAATAAACGTGTACCGGATGCATTCATCTCACACGAGCGACCATTGTGTACGTATCCGGTGTCGTGCTTGTGTCCTGCTGCGAGTGCGTGCGGCAGCACGTGCGGTCTCACCCAGCAGCAGACAGAGCACGTCAATGGCCACGCAGCCCATGCCCAGGGGGTCTCCCGTCACCCACGCCATGCCTCCTGCCGGTGCACGGCTGCTCCGCTCGTCCTCTCTGCTGCTCGCCCTCGCGTATTTTAACTCGAACATGACACCACCACCACACCACACCAGCACGGGGCTCTCCTCCTCCTCCTCACCACCACCTCCCCCACCACTGCCAGCAGCCACTCCCTCTGGCACACGCCCTCCGTGTGCTGCTCTTCACCCCCCTCCTCCTCCTCACTCTCACGTTTTACTCACCCTCGCCACCGACAGTGAATCACTCTCCTGTGTCTCTCACACACACTCTCTCACACACTCTCTCACATACACACACTCTCACATACACACACTCTCACACTCTCTCTCTCTCACATACACACTCTCTCACACTCTCTCTCTCACTGTCTCTGTGCTTCAGTGTCACGCACTCACCCACCCAGAACCTGACAAGCAGCCTCCACCTGTACACTCTTCCTTGAGTACACACGCCCCCCTACCCCAGCCAGCATCATTCACGATAACAACAACCACCACCACCACCTCCTCCTTCTCCTGCTCCTCCTCCTCCTCTCCCAAGACTCGAACAGTGGGCTGCTTCTGAGTCTGGAAGAGTGTGACCCCTACCCCCTCCCCGTAATGCAAGCCACAGGTTGGGTTACCATTGGTTTTCTTTCAAGACACACTTTTGTTATTTTATTTGTTTAGCAAGCAAGCAAACTCTGCTGGAAAGCCAATTGGCCGATGGACTGAAACATATATTTGTTTTTGTGTAAGTGGAGAAATACCGTGGTGGCATGCCCGCGTTATTAAGAAACCATCATTTCCAGGGATATCAAATTTAGCCAGTTTACAACTTGTAATGTTTTTTACATTGCTTTGTATTCAAAGAATCTAATAAAAAGCAATATACTGTGGAGGAATAATGAAAGAAACCCCATATAAAAACCCACCAGAATCCACAAACCATTTCAGCAATGTACAAACCAACACAAACGCAGATGCCACATGGCACAAACACTGCTGTCATGGAACTCACCAGCACCACGGGTTCCTGTGCAGCACGGAGAGGCTGACTGCATCAAGGCAGCATTGCTTTCCACTCCAACTCTATTTTCATGGGTCCCCAAGACAATTCCTGTTATGTGCAGATCATGTCAGAGCCGCCGATATTATTTCGAGTGAACAATAGGGAACAAAGCTACTCCTTCAACCAGAAACTGAGTTTGCAATCTTAATCCCTTAGTTGTTGCTGATCAGAAGCCTCACGTTCTTAAGCAAACTGCTTTTTTCACCAATAACACAGTTTTTTTTTGGGTTAGATCGCGAAAATATAAATGTGTGTCGGGTGGTGGCGGGTTTAACGACACATTTATATTTAGGCGATCTAACCCCAAAACCCTGTTTTATGGATGATATTGGTGGCAAAAGCCTACATGTTAAATTCGCTTTTTTTACATTTGCATAAATAATAATTTACGGAAGTTATTATAGAGAGATTATAGAATTATTGGCATGGAAAAAACGTGTGGTTCCTGTGATGCACGTGTCCTCGTGTTTTGCACAGCACCTTAAGATGCATTTGGATGCTCCATGATTATATTGCCCTCTGCAGTCTTGTTTCCCAGCGCATAGCGAGTCCGCTGTAGTATCGTGCTGTGACTGATATCCTTTGAATGAGGTGAAAAGCTACTGAGAGCTACGCATGTATATTTATCAAGAGATCATAATCATCACGATCCGTGGGTAGATAGCCCGTAGGCGTCCACTTCACAATTCGTCATTTCAGATACCTGGGTAATATACAGGCGTTGAGTTGAAGGTTTAAAATTAATTACAAAACTGCCGTATAAAATGCCTACACAAATTGTTAAAACGGCAAAAAGTCATGCAAAAGACATGGCATGACATATCTAAGGAGGGAAGCATGCTTCTGCACGCTCGTGCAGCTGAATGTTATAAATTCCTTTCACACACACCCTTCCCACCTCTCCCCTCTCTTACCGCCTCACCTCCATTCTCCCACGAGGTGGAAATGACAGCTCATAGGTGGGGTTTTTCTCGTCCATGTTGGTGCTTTTTGGGACGTTAATAATGTCGTTAATACGTGAATTAAGTTGTATTGAATAGCTAAGATTTAGTCTTGGTGCTCTTTTGATAAATATTGCTATTCAGTTTGAATGTCTGTAACATGTACAGAGAACGCTACACCATTGTACTGTACTGTGTGATTGTATCTCCCTGTGAGTCCACTGCTAGATGAAGGCCTCCTGCTCAGTCCCAGTCATCGGAGTTGTTTGATCATACTTCACCGTTCTGGTCAGTGTGGGTTGTTAAAGTGGGGGGGGGGGGGGGCAAGAAGGGCTAAGATGTCACTCGCAAAATGATGTTAGCCATGGCCGGGAATCATGGCGAACATCACCGAGTTCATAGTGCAGCGTGATGATTATGATCACTGCATCACCCATCATCACTCTACCCCACATTACTGTATATCATTCCCACAATTAGATATGAGTGATTGCGCTTAATACAGGGTTTACTACACATACACAGTACTGCACGTATTTCTAGAAATCAGGGCTGCATATCGGATATACACCATATACTGAATCAAATTCTATATGAAGTAATGGACATTAATGTATGCTCACGTTTGGAGCTGTTCACACAGATATGCACTGAAGGGAACGTGAAAATGTACTGTTTGTGCTCTTTCGAGGATTATCTTTTTTCAGTGTAAATGCACTGTAACAAATGGCAGAGTCCAACGACTATGGCACTGTAGTTTACAGTCCTTTGTCAATCACCTGCAGTAGGAAGGCCTCCAACCTGGGCTAGTGCCCTGCACTTTGAACCCAGAGATCCAAGTTCCATTTCCAGACATGGCGAACATCGGCGACGAGTTATGTCTGAGCCAGACCTGCGCAACTCTCGACTTCTCAAACCCAAACTGAGCAGCGTGGAGAAGTATGGTCAAACAGCACTGTTTCTCATCTCCAACATATAATAAATATATCTAACGGCACTAAACACAGGGATGAGTACACATACACAGCATGATACAATTAGTGTCTGCTTAAACACATGCTTGCTATAGCACAGTGGTCAAGAAGGCCCAATCGTTGATGGATTGAAACATGTTCTTAATGCATATGGATGGACTTTTGACAGGCTTTGTTTTTAACTTCGTAAAATAGGCCCACTCCTCACCCCGCTTGGTGTTGCTGCGACCAGAACAATTGTCATGATGGCCCTCAGGATGAAGGATTCTTTGTGGAATTTGCCCCTCCGCCTGCCTAGACCTCCGATTATCATGCATGCATGCATCCACCAATGTATGACTTAGAGCACAACCTGAAATTATTTTATTGTCTCTGTAACGGATTACGGTCTCCATAAAATACGTAAGCTAGAGTAAAACAGCATTCACTAAAGAAAAACCATTGTCAATATTCTGGGTCTCAAATGTTTTAGTTTTACACCCCCATTTGTACAGTCGTGTTTCTTGTGTCCATATTATTTGCATACTTAAGTTAACCTTTTTAGCCTACATGTAAAATACAAACATAATTTGCACGAGTCTAAAATAATGTATTCTTTCACAACAAGATCTGAGCATAGCAATTGATTTTACAGTACTTGATTAAATGACCCATCGCTATACAACTACTGGATTGGGTTTCTCCACGGCCATCTCCACCTAAGATGACGAGTACTTTGTGTGGTGAGGTCACAACCGTAGCTGTTAGCTTTGAGACACAGTCAACATGCCTGACGCTAGCCACCGCACATACTTGTGCACCATGCCAACCATACAGAACGTTTCTTATCTGCGACCTTATTGGCCACAACTCCTATTATACATGGGAGGTAATGTACAGAGTCTCTCCAAAAACGTATAGTATGCACGGACCTATTCTTCCACGTATCAGAGATTTTTCCCACGGATAAGTGGAATAGTTTCACAAAGAACCAAATCGATAATAGGGTCCGCGATGTTCTGCCAAGTCGATGTGGATGAGGAGTTATGTACGAAGAGAACGAAGGATGTTGCTCACGTGCAACCTGTGAATGAGCAGAGTCTTGTGAAAGCCTCGTTGATTTTTACTGCTTTTGTTAAAATATGGGCGTTTTAAAAAATATGTGCCCACTAAAGGGTCAAGGTTCACAATTGTTACAGCAAAACTACAGCGGCAATAAAATGTCTCGTGCTGTGACTATAAAGCCACCCTTGTAACTCACACTTGCATTCTTTTTTTACAGTTAAACTGGACTTGCACACACAAAGACATCGATACTACAAAGTAAGGGTGAAACGATTAATCCACAACCCACAGTTATTTGATAATTATTTTCAATTTAGGCTCACGGTTTTATTCAAGAATCAATTCTTAACATTTTGGTAAACGATAACCCCTCTATTGGCTGCTCGGGTGATGTAAGCTCATGACATAAATTAGTTCTTACACACATTCAATGCACATAATGCGAGCTTAAGAATTTATATGACTAATCAGTGAATCAATGCATCGCTCCATCCCCCATGATAACATTTATAAACAGTCTGTTTGGGCAAGGGCTGTTGGCGAGCACCGATCAACACCAACATGGTACACGAAGGGGTGGTATGGCAAGCACCACGCTCGGCTGCCTTTACCTCCCTCGTGGTGATATTGACGTACCACGCCATGTACTCGTTCAACAGTTGACTGATGGGAGGCCCAGGACCGGTTCAGATTTTCGCCACCAATGTTAGCCGTGGGCGAGAATCGAACTTGAGTGGTCAGGTTCGAAGCGTGCTAAGCACGACGTTGTTGCTCCCCACAGTCTTAATAGGCACACACAGTGACAATAGGTACACGAGCCACACACAAACTCACCTGGGTGAGGTTGACGCGGTGTGTTCGCGAGACTGTGACCCAGGTCTCCGTGCTTGTGAGTCTTCACTCAGAAGTGAGAGCGACGCTTGGTGAGGCCTCCGGCTCCGGGTGGATGGAACCACAGAGTGCTGCAACGTCCTCCTGAAACCACCACCGCACACTTCCCACACTGCCGTGTTGACACGTTCATAAAAAACAATGAAACCACCACACTCATGAAGCAAACCTCATAAACCTCAAAGCTTAGTACAATATCATGCAAACATTTAAATGAGTGCCTTACCAGTGAACACTGTATATTGTAATGTTGTTTTTTTACAGTATATGCTCCTTCTCCAAGGTACATCAAAATCTGACTTCCCGTGGAATTGGCAGATGTTCATGTGGGTGATTGAATCACATGATCGAGATTTCTCAACGTTCCACGATTGTGGAAGTTCCTGCTTGTGAATTTGCGTTACAAGACCTCGGAGTAAAAAAATCTGATGGCCACAACCAAAAACAACTGCAATTTAAAATAGGGTTAAAAATGTAAACTTATGAGCACCAATACCGTTTTAGTGGCAGTCACATGCTATGAAGTGGTAGTCATGTGTTGTTACTAATGTAATGTATTATTTAACAACAAGCAGACTTACGCTTGTAGTTTAAAACTCGAGTGTACTTTACATGGAACACATGACCACTACTTAACTCTGGTTTGTGGGTAATGTTTTCTGATAGCTGAATTTATGCGTGACCATTTCATGATTTTCTCAGCATATTGTGAGAACAAAACAACCCATCTCGACAAAATCTATTACACATTTATAATGCAAATGACCCGATACATATGTTGGCGAATGTCCCTTTTGTAAAAAAATTATGGGGGGAAAATGTGCAATGTCTCCATAACCACCAACGGGGATAATAATAATAAAAAAGATGTGTTTCGGCAGTTTTGTGAAGAACTGCATCCGCCTACATGGCTTTTCAATGTACATGTGGTACATGCGCATGTACAGCCCTTTATCAATCCACTGCTGAAAGAGGGCCTCCCCACGCCATGCGAATTGTGGGGGTTATTTGACCACATACTGGTCAGTGCGGGTAAGTGTAAACAGGCAGCAAAAATGTGGCAGCAAAGAAGTACAGAAATGGATTACGCTAAACTCATTTTCTGCTTAACACATAGCCCCCCATACGGTAATTGTGTAAAAAATTATTTCCACAAGGTCGTAAATATTATAATTATAATTAAAGGATTCCAGGCTGTTTGATCGGGCATTATTGTAGAACATATACAGTGCTTAAAAAAAAAAACATTATCACAAGCAGTGTGAGAGGTCATGCTGCAGGGCATCATGGGAACGAACAGGATCTTGCAAGCCCTATGTGCTCTGGCCAACTGCCATAAAAAATGAAAATGTGGCCTTTTTAAAATTCTAAGCCGTAAAGCAATGCGGTAACTACAGGTGCTGGTTTTCACTCAGGGACCTTAAACAGAACGACTGCCCAACCTGCACAATTGCCCTCAACTGGAACGAGCTTGGTACAGCCTATGGGCTTTATAGACAAACGTGATTCCCAGCCCAGAGTTTCAATCATCTGGAAGAAAATAAAACAAAACATGATCTTATCGGCTGTGGAGGATGTTACTGCGACACGCATATTTGTGTGAGATTGTACACACACATAGCACAATTACCTTTCGCACTGGGTCGACAGGTACCACACAATTTCAAGTACACCCTGTGCAGTGGAAACTCGTATACAGGAAAGCCACTCTAATCCGTGACTCTATTACCCACGCCTCCTATTGTATGTGGAGCTCTTCTTCCAAGTACGTATCTGCATTTATCCGTGCATTTTCCAGTAGCGAAGTGGAGAAAATTCTTAGCTGCGTGAATACGGTAATCATCGTTCCCGCGAGAGTGATCCTTCACGTAGAGTTCTGATGTGCACAGGACTGCATTATACACAAAGGGCCTGAATCATGATGTACTTGAGATTATTTGTGATAATGTGCTATTGTCTGCATCACCAACAATGGCATACGCTACTTTCCAACCCTATTGCTTTCAGACGTAGGCTGCCGATTTTTTTCTCCTTTTACCGCAGAACAATTTCCTAAAATAATAATTTGCTTCATGGAATTACAGTGTTTTGATACAATTATGTGAAAATGGTAATGTCAAAATTGTAAAATAAAAAAAATATCTTGTTTTATCTTTTATTTCTAAATTATATTCCATTATTATTTTAATATATATTCTTTAAGATATTGTCTTCGTAGAGATTTTTGGCTTAAAAAAATTCCAGAAAATCATTGTGGAGATGCTTTGCCTGAGCACGTGCCAACCTATATCCCGCTCGTTATGTTTGAAAGCTTAGCAAATACTGTATATATGAATGAAACAAATCGCCACGGCCATGCGTATCGGGCTGTTGAATCAACATGTGCATCTGTACCCTTGTTGGGAGACGACACGTGCACACAGCGTATCGCGGTTGCATTCCACAACGTGTACTTTGCATTAAGTACACACAAACCGCGCAGGGCAACACACAGCATGGAATAACAACACCGTGCGGGTGGAGTAACCACACACCCTCGTGTTGTCTCTGCCAATCCAGAACACACACACACGCCTCTCACTCGTGCACACAAAAGACAACTCGTATTCCCCATATAGACATGGAGACTGTTGGGGCGAGTGCCGTGAGTCTTGACTGGTGCATGGAGAGGGGGAGATGTCGTCAGCACCACACCTGGCCATCTTTGGCTCCCCTGTGTTCATGTTTAGCACTGTGGAGTCGAGGGTGGTAACAACAGCCCACACCGAAATATTAACAAACCCACAGCGTATGAGTAACTCATTGGAAGTGGACAAGATACAGTAGTTGTATTCATAGTGTTTAACGTAATATATTGTATTTAGACGCAGACCAACTGTTACATTGTAGAAATAAATATGTTATCAGAGTTCAGCCACCAATATATTTAATCAATCCACTCCCAACATCATGTATGTTTTTTTTTTACCATACTTCACCGCGCTGGTCACTGCGAACGCGGAGAGCATGAATGTGATGACAACTCACATTGCAACCCACGACTGCACTGAGTAGCCATTATACGCGCAGATATAAATGTGTCGTGAAACCCGCCACCAACCAACATTTATTAGGGTTTGTCATGTGTTTGACCGATCTATCCCAAAAACACCTGCATTATGGATGTTTGCAAGATACATCATACAGGTTTTCGCGCAAGGACTCACAAGTGATGTCATCACAGCTACTCATCTATTTAAGGAACGAAACAGGAGGATTTCTCCACAATTCTGGTTGTCGCCTGATGAAGCTAGTTGTAATTACTGGCGAAACGTCGTACTCAGATTGTAAATGGTGTGCATTTGCTCTCCGATGCACCGGTGTGCTGCACGAGTAACGAATTGGCACGTTCTGTTTGCGTGACAAACCTTACTAGTTGGCTGTGTCAGGTGGTGGCGGGTTTAACGACACATTTATTATATTTACGCGTATTCTGTAGTTCTTTCGGTAAAGTCACGTAGAGAGAAAAAAATTATAACAATAAAATAATAAAAATAAAGTCAATAAAAAATATAGATATTTACGCGATCTAACCCCCCCAATAAACTGTATTATGGCTGACATTGGTCGCGATAGCCTGCTGCGTGTTAAACTGCACGGAGTATTTTTTACTGCACTGCCCTCTTCTGCCCGCTTTGCAGTAGTGTACTTGAAGTGCCCACCACTTCTTATTGGTTCTTTCGGTAAAGTCACGTAGAAGTGAAATATTATAAAATAATACAAATAAATATTTTTTAATTTTATTATGTTTAATTTTTTTCATTTTATTATTTCTCCCTAGTGGCGATGTTCACACACCACACCAGTTACTCGTTTGAGGCTGAGTCGACCTAGGGGAGGCCCAGGAGTTCGTAGCGCAGCGCGCTAACCACGACACTACACTGCGTGACGCCTCCACGTGCGCGGGTCACGTGACATATATGACGTCACAGTTCACTTGCCGTGCAAAAGATAAATTCATTATTGAGCTCCCTCCCCCCAAAAAAACTAAAGTGTATTTTAATAATGTTTGCATGGTGTACAGTCTGGAAAGTACCCACATGGCACATTTGCAGTTTGTTGCATGTCGGGAAGTACGCTGAACATTTTGAACAGACACGTAATCACAACTTTGCCTTTTATATATATTAATAATTATAAAAGTCCGCTCAAGCGGCACTGGTGTTTGGTGGCCGAGAGCGGGAATCGAATCCTGGTCGCCGGGTTCTGTAGCGCGGCGCGCTAACCGCTGCACCACCGCTCCCACACTCAGACAAAGATCGCCCGTACGAGCACACACACAGCTCGCACGCACACACAGCTCGCACGCACACACAGCTCGCTCGCACACACACAGCTCGCACACACACAGCTCACACACACACACGCACACAGCACGCACACACAGCTCGCACACACACAGCACACACACACAGCTCGCACACACACACAGCACACACACACAGCTCGCACACACACAGCTCACACACACGCACACAGTGACATGCAGGGAGGGTCTGGTGCGTGTCGCCATGTCCACGTCTCCTGCCTCCTCCGTCCTCGCCTCCATCAGGCAGCGGCTGGAACCGCTCGGATTCGAGTGCCACGGCTTCCAGGTGCAGCACACACACACAGTGCAGCACACACATTGTGCAGCACACACACACACTGTGCAGCACACACACACACACTGTGCAGCACACACACACACACTGTGCAGCACACACACACACACTGTGCAGCACACACACTGTGCAGCACACACACTGTGCAGCACGCACACACTGTGCAGCACACACACACTGTGCAGCACACACACGCGGTGTGCAGTACACGTGGTTGATGGCACACCAGTACAGGACACGCACTGTCGATGCGGAACACGGTACAGTATACGGATCGCTGTGCAGAGTAATACACTGTACACTGTACTGTACACAAGGACACTGTACTGTTTAGACAGCGATGCAATGCTGCGCAACACAGCACTGTACTTAACTACAGTGCAGTAGAGTTGCACAACTATAGAGTACAGTCCACACAGCGCTACAGCACACATCAGTACAGTACACAGCACAAGCACACGTGGTCACATAGCGCGGGACAGCAGTACAGTACACAGCACAAGCACACGTGATCACACAACAGTACAGTACACAACAAGCACACGTGGTCACACAGCAGTGCAGTACACAGCACAAGCACACGTGGTCACACAGCAGTACAGTACACAGCACACGCACACGTGGACACACAGCAGTACAGTACACAGCACAAGCACACGTGGTCACACAGCAGTACAGTACACAGCACAAGCACACGTGGACACACAGCAGTACAGTACACAGCACAAGCACACGTGGACACACAGCGTGGGACAGCAGTAAAAGTACACGTCGTGTACACGGTGGACTACGCGAGCACAACGGCGGCAGTACAAACGCCGAGGTGTGCTTCTGTTCTCTGTGTCGGTATGCACAGGGTGGTCCAGATGTCTTGTGACCCGCATTTAATTCTCTAAAACTTTCGTGTACAGTATAGCATTGGGTGTGAGAACAAAAATGAATAAGGAAGGGGGGGGGGAATGTTGGGGATCAATTAACTTGGGGTCACAAGACATCTGGACCACCCTGTTACAGTACACGTGTAGACATAAGTTACACCCGGAATAAGCACGTGTGTAGCACATACTGTATAGCATACAGTGTTCTACTGTATGCTATATATTCTACTGTCTCGTGTACTCTGCAGAGTTCACCGCGTGGGATATTGCTATCTACAGTACATCGTATGTGCACGCGTCTGTAATTGCAGTACTCGATTGTATACAATCTACAAGGAACTGCACTGTGAATGCTGCCCGATGCTATGTGTGTGTACTGTGTATCTGCTGTGTGTGTGTACTGTGTGTCTGCTGTGTGTGTGCGGTGTGTGTGTACTGTGTGCGGTGTGTGTGTGTTTACTGTGTGTGTATGTGAGCGGTGTGTGTACTGTGTGTGTGTGTACTGTGTGCGGTGTGTGTGTATTGAGTGTCTGCTGTGTGTGTGTACTGTGTGTCTGCTGTGTGTGTGTACTGTGTGTGTACTGTGTGTCTGCTGTGTGTGTACTGTGTGTCTGCTGTGTGTGTGTGTACTGTGTGCGGTGTGTGTGTACTGTGTGCGGTGTGTGTGTATTGAGTGTCTGCTGTGTGTGTGTATTGTGTGTGTGTACTGTGTGGTGTGTGTACTGTGTGTGTGCTGTGTGTACTGTGTGCGGTGTGTGTGTACTCACTATCAGGCGTGTGCGGTGTGTGTGTACTGAGTGTCTGCTGTGTGTGTGTACTGTGTGTGTGCGGTGTAATTCACGCTGTCCATTAGACACGTTCATTATTCGCTTGACATTGAGCCACGCGGGTTGTTGAGAAGCTGACAGTGAATGGGCTTTGCGTTGCGTGTACGCGTGTGCATGTGTATGGCTATGTGTGTTGTCCGTGGACGTCCTGTAGTGTGTATAGATTGTGGCAGTGATTGTGTTATGTACTTTGGTTGTGTGTGGACTGGTATCTTGATTACTGTATTGTGTACAGCATTTGAGGTGGGCTGGTATAATCATTGTGTATCAGGTGAGTTGGTATGATGGTGATTGTGTGCTTTGTGTACCATGTGGGCTGGTGTCATGATTATTGTGTGCTGTGTATTTGCTGGTGTCATGATTATTGTGTGCTGTGTATTTGCGGGTGGGCTAGTAAAATCATTGTGTTTCTGATGGGCTAGTATCACGATTGTGTGCTGCGTGTACCAGGTGGGCTGGTATAATGAGCGGGTGCTGGAGGGCTTCCGCCTGCCCGTGCCAGCAGAGTCTCTGGCCGTGCTCGTCATCAGCACCCCCTCCATGTTCGAGCTCGCACTGCTGCCATTCCTGTCCCGGCCGGAGCGGTGCGGCGTCCGTGACCCCGTGGACGAGTGCTCGGCTTTTCACCTCGCCGCTGTCGCACAGGTGCCTCGCTCCTCCTGGTTTCTGCAGTACAGCAAGTAGACCGACTTGACCGATGTCCGTTTCCGTTCGTATGGGGATAGAGTGTTGTCCCCTCGCACACGTGCGTTTTCTGCTGGTGCTCAGGTTCATCACACTTGTATAAACACACTCATCATTAATTGGGTGAAAATATCTTAAAATAAAAACCCAAAGCAGGACCCTCCTGAAAGAGTCATATGGCTTGGTGTGGCTCTCCTGGATAAATAAGTAAATCATGATTATCTGTAACGTTGGACTACCCAGTGGCATTCATTTCGCAGCTCCTCACCCTGCTGATGAGACTGAAGTTCTGACCAGATTGTTAAGCAAATGTTACTGAGATAAATTGATCCCGAAGGCACGTTGGTCAATGAAGTAAACACGTTTCTGTGATGAAACACATTTCAAAATAGTTTATGTACTGGCAGTTGGTTTCTGATGTAGCTATCTGAGTACTTTTTCCTAATTTGTGTCTATTTTATCCTGATACTCGGGTTTATTTCACATAAAAACTATATTTAATAAGCAACTGGCCAAAAAGTTAAGTAGCTTGCTCCTAAGGCAGCCTTGAGATTTGCAAACGTTCTGGGGTAAGTAAACTACTGTTTTTATTCTTTTTTATTTATCGGGGTTTGATAGTACAATGTGAGAGATTATTGAAGAAAAATACATTGTTTTACCATACTATAATTCCAACACCTGTGCTCCCAGCATTCACCAACCATCACTACTGCTGACAAGTGTGGTCAAATATAGTCGCATAATACCCACAGATATGAGGTACATTTCCAGCATTTGCTGTGACAAAACGGGGCTATCTACGCACGCGTGCACGACCGTGCGTTTGCGTGCGCCGCATGGCAGGAGTTCCCGGGCCAGCGCGTGGACGTGATCCACGACTTCGACGTGCTGCCCAGCCGGCGGCCGCGCCTGCTGGTACAGACGGCGGCGCACGTGGCCGGCGCGGCCTTCTACTACCGGGCCGAGGACGTGCGCGACGCCCCCTGGCCCGCACACAAGGTGTGGTGGCCACGGCCTCCTCTTTCTCGCCGCTCTGTCTCTCAACTTTGCCGCTCACCCTGCTTCTGATTGCACTGCGCAGGATTGCCGCGCCACCGTACAGAAACCTCAACCACGGGTGCAATGTCATCGTTGTGATTTTAGTTTCTTCCTGTCATTCAATTATCTGAAAATACTTGAGGATCAAAAGGATAATAGGAAGATGAATGGATCTCATAGCTCTGATTTATACTTGTAATATGGAGAGATGTTATTTAAAACCCAGTGAGAGCCCATTGAGACCAGAAATCTCTCAAGGCAGACCAGCCCCCACCATGAGCATGTGGCTGCTGATCTACCAAAGGCGATTATCTCCATCCCATTGCTCAACTGAGGAAGGAAGCACAGCTATATTTTTTTACCTTTACTGCATAATAGTTTATGTGGATAAAAAAAATGTAACGCAGTCCCAGTGACCTGTGCGTTGGCGGTGCTGGTGGAGTAGAAGATGTTTGGGGTGTGCATGCACCCCGTGTACGGAGGCTGGTTTGCCATCCGGGGGGCGCTGGTCTTCGCGGACGTGAGCGCCTCGGATCTGCCGCGTCCGGAGCCTCCCGACTCCGTGTCCTCCAACGCCGCACGCATCCTCCTGCTCGAGAAGTTCAACTACAACTGGCAGGTGAGACAACGGAGGGAGGAGGACACGGGGGCACGCGCGTGGTGGTGCGTGCATGGCAGTGTGTGCGTAGGAGTGCGTACGTGAGATGTGTGGGGGAGTGGTGGTGCAGTGGCAAGTGTACTGTGCTATGCCCGAGCCACCTGTGTTCAAATCCTGTAAATGCACACCAAGTGAAAAGTGTGACTTGTCCTTGAGCCTCCCCTAGGTTAGCTTAGCCTTAAATAAGTACCTGGTGTGGTGTGTTAATGTAAGTAGTGACTAAATAAGGGTGGCCAGGCATGGTGTTGGCCACATGACCCTGTCATGTAATATACCAGCCTACATAGCTGCTCATGGCATTCAGATGGAACTTGGCAATATTTTCTACAAAATTTTACATTGGATCTTTGACTCATTATGATGTGAATGTGGGTCGCTGCGTGTGAAGGTATTAGATGGAGGTAGAGGATGTGTGATGGGATTTATTCCCCACTGAGTCTACTTGTGGATATGAAACCACTGACTCCTTGCACATGGGTGCAGCGGCCAATATGCCACACAAGCAGACTATTCAGCCTCTCGGTTTCATAGTTTACAGCTGTTAAATTCGCTGCTCTAACCTCTGTGTCATGTGCAGATTCAGTTGCGTTTTGTGTAATTAGCCGCAGCCACATTGAATACGAGTTTGCTTGAGGGTGGTGATCCTGGTCTTTAACCATGGATTCTCTGCTTGTGTGCTGCCTTGTGCGTGCATTGTGTGTGCATTGTGTATGTGCGTGCGCGTGTGTGTGCGCGCATTGTGTGTGCGTGTGTAGGACTGGAGCTATCGCGACGTGATCCCCGTGAAGCAGCGCTACTCCGAGGCACAGAAGCTGTATTTCTCTACACCACCCGACCAGCGGCACACCCTGCCCGGCTTTGCTTTTCTCCAGCCTCAGCCCACATCACAACCAGGGGCTGAATCTGAAACTGAACCAGTGTCCCGACCAGAGCAAGGGTCAACACCAGAAGCAGTGTCTGCACCAAAACCAGAATCGGTGTCACTACAAGCAGCAGTGTCCGTACCATAGCGAATGTCTACACCAAAACTTGTTTAAATGCACAAAAACAGAACTCATGTCTGTTACATAAACACATATACATCAGAACCAGTGTCTGCACCTAAAACATAATCAGTCATTTGCACCAAGAACGTGAACGTTCTGACCCTGTGCCTCTACTGGACGTCTGTGAAAAAGAGCTTTATAGCTCATCAGATTCCTCCAGTATAAATACAGATTTTGATTCTGAAGAACAGACCATTTGTCAGTCCAAAAGCCGGTGTGTGTACCATTAACATTGCCTACAATGTAAGCCGTGGCTATACTAAAACCAGAGTACTGTGACGAGATGCCGCGCTGTCAATGGGGAGCGAGCGGCTCGTAGCAGTTGAGCTGCTGCACGTAACCCGAGAGGGATAGCCACCAATGGCTGCCTGGATGTCGTCTTCCACGGAAAAGTCTGTTAATAGATACCTATAGCACGATTGGCAAAGGGGATTAAAACCAAATTCTGCCTTGGCTGCAAGTGCCTTGTGATAGCAGCCTGCAAAGTTCTGCGACCTTGACATAAGGAACTGCATTGTGCTTTTGTATCAAAATATGCACTATAAAGCAGAACTTTAGTCACTGAGAAATTGTGGACTGCACGTTTCTATTTGCCATGAAAAAAGGGTATACAATTTAAGGAAATTATATTAATAGGTTTTCGTAGCCAATACAATTGTCCATACAATGTTTGTTGATTGGTTAGGCCGCATGGTAGTTTTAAGCCAACGTTCTTGTAGAGCGGTAATGGCAATCATTTTTTACTTAAACTACTGTATGGCCCAACCCAAAAACATTGTAAAAATATATACATCTAACACTATCTGAGCGATTGTCCGCATTGTTTCCACAAACTAAGGGTTTAATAAATAAAAGTATAATGATAGTCAACACCAACTTGTCATTGTCCTCATTTGAGCCCTTCATTGCCTGTTATGAAGCTGTATTCGTGTCGCGCCCTGCAACCAGGGCCGTCCATTAGGGGGCGGGGAGTGGGGGGCCCGGGGCAACTCAGTGCCCCCCCCCTCCGACGCCTTCATACTAAACCGGAAGTGTTACATCTTACACTGTGACGTACAAGCGCTGGGCCCCCCCAAAATGCGGGGCCCAGGGCAGTCGCCCCAATTCGCCCGACTCTTCTGCAGCCATTAAGAGGCGCTGCCATTCACAATGTCAACTTTTGAACCGATAAATTGAATCCTGAGGAGTAATCCCAACAATTCTATGAAACAATGGATATATACAAATCCCTTTTGTCAATCCTCGTCGCACCATCACATGGCATGTATTTACAAAGGCCACCCACCTCAATGCTCGGCTGGTTGAAGGTCCCCCCGTGTTATTGTGCGGGTCGTGGGGAGCTGGCTCGTGCAGGTGGAATTCGAGCCACTGTACCGGTTGGCTAAGCAGGCATCTTAAAGCTTTTATGAAAAATCGGAATTTTGTTATTTAACCCCATACCTGAATTGTGATCATTGGGCCTAGGAACCCATTGCGAAGTGAATTCTGCTGTTGGTTTGGGCCACTCGAGTGCAACAGGGCCACCCATAATTCAGGCAACATTTTATAGTATTTTCATACACATTTACCAATAATGCAGGCAACATGTAGTATTTTCATAAACATGTATTTGCCCATACTGTACATGTTTTATTGAAGAGTTTGTTATAGCACGGTTGGTTACATACGGTGTGAATGAAGTTCAACATATATATGGCAATTTAAAAGTTTCATCCGTAAATTCTAATCAGGCCCCATGGTGTCAAGTGCAGTCTCCAACTCGTATTCACTATCTCTGACTTCTCTGTGCTATGAAAAAGGGCCATTACCAGAAACGTCGCCAGCCATAGGCAGGAATCAAGTTGCACGAAAATACAACCATGGATGTGTATGCATTGCCCTCTGTTTCGCACAACATAGCCGACAGTATTAAAAAACCCGTGCATGCAAATCGGACCGTTTAAAGTCGGCTTTAAAAACATCCCGCTTTAAAAAAAAAACAGCGATACTGGTTTCACATAAAAAAAAATACATACTATCAGCCACACAGTGTTCTGGCCGCGCATAAGTTCAGCAGCATTCAACAATAAAGGGATGTTTGTGGGTTAGATCGCGTAAATATAAATGTGTCGTTAAACCCGCCACCACCCGACACATCCAATTAGTAATTCTACGCGATCCAACCCCCCAAAAATCCATCATGGATATTGTTCGCGAAAGCCTCCGCGTTAAATCGGTTCAACACTGGGCAGGTTTCGATATTCTGTCTCATCAGCAGAGGTCGCGCTTCGCTTGAAGCCCCCAACCCACGCATCGCCCCGTGGGTGGGTGCGTGGTGGGGGCGTGGTGGGTTCAAGTTTATTTATTAGGGTATAGCCCTGTGAGCCATTCGGCTCTTGAATCGGGTGCAACCGCAACAAACAAAAACATGAACAAAAAACATCTTAAAGTGAATATGTGACTAAGTGCAAACAGAAAATCCAAGAAAAGACAGCAAACCATTGCAGAAAAAACACCGCACACCAACGCTGTGTGCAAAAATCCCAGTGGGATGCAAGTCAAACAACAACAACCACAAGACAACTTAGATTAAGGCCATCAGTCTAACTCTGTACTACAACAATCAAACATGGCTAAACCAATACACTTTTCGAAATCACCAAAATAAAACTATGAAAGTAATGGTGGGGGCGCGGTGGGTGCGCGGTGGGGGCTTCCACAAACGCGGGCGAGCACCACGCGGAACGGCTTCGACCTCCACTCCGCCCACAGCGACACCGCCCAGCGACCCCCACCCACCACGCTGCCGCCACGTGGCCGCCGGCGATCGGTCACGTGGCGCGCCCGCAGATTATTTATTTATTTTCCATGACCGCGTGACGTCTAAATAATTAAATAACCGCGGCTTCGTAGGCGGAAGTGGCTGCGGCATCCCGGAAGTGTCGCGCCGCACGTGTCGGTGGCAGGCGACATGCGGCAGGCGACATGCTGCTGCTGCCCGTGTCCGTGCGGGACGGAGACTCGAAGCCTCGGCGGGCCCGGCTCGTTCACCGCCTCGCCGGCTGGTTCCGGTGAGGGGACTAGGCGCGACGCGGCGCTCCGGGCGGGCGGGCGGGCCGGCTGCGTCTCGTTGGGCCCCTCTGCTGGTGGCCGCGTCCAGGCCAAGTTGGGACGGCGGGGAGCTGCGGGCGTTGTGTGAATGGGTTGTTGTGTGCGGTGTGTGGGGTTCTTGTGGTGTGTGTGGGGTGTGTGGACGTGTGTAGGGTGTTTGTGGTTTATGTGAGGTGTTTGTCGTGTGTGTGGGGTTATTGTGATGTGTGTGTGTGTGGTGTTTGTGGGGTGTTGTTCTTGTGATGTGTGCGGTGTGTGGGGTTATCGTGATGTGTGGTGTGTATGGACGTGTGAGGTGTTTGACGTTGGTGTGAGTAGTGTTTGAACGTGTTTGGGGTTGGTGTGTGTGGGTTGTGTACGGGTCTGTCGTGTTTGACGTTGTGGTTCGTGCGTCGTGTACAGTCGATGTGAGTGTGGGATCCTTGTGGCGTGTGTGGGTCGTGCAAGGCTCCAAGTTTTGTCGAGTGTTAATTGTGTATGATGCTTGGATGTGTGGTACGTGCTTGTTGTGAATGTGGAAAGGGGACGATACAAAGCGAGGCGCGGAAAGTGACGGTGACCCAACAATAACAGCGCTGTATGTACAGCTTGTGTGGCGCCTTTCATAAAGTCTCAAGACGTAGACTGACAACCAAGACCCCCGTTGCCCTACGGGCATCTTGGTGGCTGTTTCCGCCTGCTTTAGAGCAACCGAGCGCTTGGTTGTTGAAGGTGGTTGTTGTTTGTGTTGTTGTTTTGAATGCGAACCCCACCACCTAGGCTTTCGTGACCAATGTTCATAATAGAGGGGTTTTTTTGGGGTTAAATGTTGTGGATTCACCCCTCAACACGCCGTTAGGCTGAAGTAGTAACTATTTGGCGTTTTGTTTACGTGATGGAGGGTTTCGACACATTTATACTTACGCGATCTAACCCAAAAAAAACATCTTGTGAATGTTCTGTCTTGTGCTTTTTTTGGGGAATCCACCAATGCTCGCTCTGTGCCCCCACCCCCCTTCTCACCCCAACAGGTCCATTCTCGCGGACCAAATCTCCCGCAACTTGTTCTTCTTCCTCTTGCTCAACCTCTCCTTCGCGTTCGTGGAGCTCTTCTACGGGATATGGAGCAACAGGTACACGGTGTTGAGATGCGCCGCCTCAAGGGACCCCCCCCCCCACCGTGTTGCAGCATAGGCGTGCTGTTCGCCGGATGTGAGACACCGCAGACCGCGGCTGCGGTGTCGTTGTTGTGTTCGCGGCTTGGCCTCGTGGTGCCAGGGTGCGGGAGGTGGATGGGGAGTTGGAACAATTCGTCTCTTGTTTTGTACGACGCCCGTTCGGCAATCCACTGCTGGATGAAAGCCTCCCCAAGCTTTGTCTGTCGTGAGGCTTTTTTTTTTTAACCATACTTCACCACGCTGGTCCGTGCAGGTCTGTGAAAGCGGGGTTTGGCAGGATATAGTTAGATTTCGCTTGCCACCCTTTGTTAGCTTTGGTTAGGATTTAAAGTCGTGTCGCTGTGTGATTGTTAGGCATTATTTAACCAGTGCCACGACCCAACTCCCCAGGCAACGAAGGCCTATAGAGAATAGTTGTTGAGACGGGTGCGATGGGTCGGTTCAGATATCGCTTCAGCCGTGGCTGGGAATCGAACTTTGATTGCTAAGATTAAAACGCAGTTCGCTCACCCATTGCACCACCGCTCCATCCACGATGCATCGATGTATCAATGTATCAATGTATATTTTGTGAGCTCACGATGTGTGTGTGTGCATTAATCCAGCAATGCTGGATTAGAAGTTCAACATACATCTTGCGTGTGGTGATCACGTAACCGATAGTTATTCCACCGAGGCAAAAAAAAATACCAATTGGTGTATTGTAACGCCATGCTGATTTGTAACAATTGATAGAATTGCAAGGGCTACGAGAGAGTGCTTTGTAAACACCAGCGTTGAGCCCACGACCCCACGCCGTGCCTACGTTGCCGACAGCTGGTCGCAGGTTCAAGCTTCGCATCACTGGGAGGCATTGCACTGGGGACCAGGTTTACAACCATTCACTCACTCCGCACCGTGCCATTTCATCACCGCGCTCTGTCCTCTCCTTTGCCTGCCAATCGGTAAATATTCTCTCCAACTGGACATTATCCCTGCCCAATTTTATTATTCTTGAATACGAAGTCGAGGTAGAGAAAGCGTTACTCTGAGACGCATTATTGAATACGTGTATCATGAGTATTAGATTCAATTTGAGGCCATACATTGAACTGTCTCATTTGTATGGACTACCATTGCGTTTTGTACGGACTATATACCGTCATGAGTCGTTACATCCCTCGCACATGCCCATTTAATCTTTGAGGTGTAAATATCTAAAATCGGTCCCAATTCACTCTGAGCAAGTGATGCGCCATTGCATTATGAACACATACCCCATTGTTGTAGCTCATTTGACAAACTCTTCAATATATAAATCACCTCTTGCATATCTCCTGTCTATTAATGTATTTTTAAGTCACTTCGACCGAAATGCCGATGTTGCCATGGTTTATTGGCCAGCACACTAGATGGTCAATCCAGAGGTCACCGGTTCAACCTCCTGGCACAGCAGTTGAAGCCATGGGCAATTTTCATGAATCCCCCTGCCCACAGATCAGCATGCATTCATACGCCACAGGCAATCGGTAGGTCGTGTGTGGTGGGGTAAAGTGTGGGTACTCCTACCTTTTCCAAGACGACTGGCCAGTGTGGAAGAGGAGGCCCCAAATACCCTCCAGCAGGACTCTAGAGCTCCGTCTACCGGGAAGGCCTTCTGCTAGCAGTGGCGAGAGCAAGAATTTGAGGGCTGCACCTTGACCCTCTTTACTCTAAAATGTCATTGTGCAGTCCTGCAAACATCTGAAGGGTATTTGGGCAACTCTTCCACGCTGGTCAGATGTTTAGGCAAGCAAATCATCACTGTCACATTTTGAAACTAATTAGGGTCTGGCCTGTTTATTTTATGTATTTTAAGTTTCACCGTTGCTGAGGTTCGGGTCAGCCAGTGACGTCAACTAAACCAATTTTCATAGAGATTATGCCTTGATTAGGTGTGTGCTTGGGGCACACACTTGTGCTGCCCCTGCCCAAGGCAAAACACAGCATGTTGTAATCATGTGGGATTGTTGTGGTGGATAAAAGCAGAGCTTTATTAAACACTAATTACAGCTTTCCAGTGAAACTGGTTTGGTGGGCTGGCTGCATGGCTGGTGTGTTCCCACGTGGAGGCATGTGGAGTGGATAGTTGCAGCGTGGGAAATCCTGAGACAATGTAGATTAAGTAGAGAGCCCTTAACCAACGAATGGCCAGATAAAATCCAGCGTATGACTGGTTAATGCAGTCTTGATGCAGTAGTTTGCCAGCTTGCTATGATTCATCCAGATAAGAGGAATTTGTTCAGCCAGCTATCTGGTTGCAGCACTGTGGATGATGTTTTTTTTTTAGAACTTCCCCATAATCTTCCTCCTCTTGGTGAATACCGTACAGAAATGGCATTTTATTCCATTTATATTAAGAAGTTTGTGTAGCTGCCCAATGGTGGCTGTTAAGAATGATCAAACTTTGTTGTTCATTATAACGTAGACATTACAGTTCCCCTGACAGCATTGACAAGAGTAAAATATTGTGCACCAGTGTTGTAACATATATCCCAGTCGTGAGCATCTCCCATAATTCTCAAAGCAGACAAAGTTGTCATGCAGCTACGATTGCAAAACAAATGAACCTCATTGAGATATCGCATGATATGAATACATTCTTTAGGATCACGCAATGTTGCGGTCGCCTGGAATTCAAATGTAGTGGCTCGTGTTTCCGAATTGCAATACAGTATCACAATACAGTACTTATCACAACACACGTTTATTTTGATGTATCGTCAAAATGCGACCTTTTGTCAAGTTGCAGTTTCATGTTCCCTGTCCTGCGAGCCGAGTTTGTGCCGTCGGTCCCCTCCCGAGAGTTGCGCCGGCTCCCATAGCGTGCGACAACGCGTTGAACACGCGTTGAACACGCGTTGAACACGCGTTGAACACGCGTTGAACACGCGTTGAACACGCGTTGAACACGGCGCTTTCACAGTCGAACCGCAAGGTACCCGCGCGCGTTACGGCCTCCTGTGCTCACGACCGACAGAATTCTTCCCGGCGGCGCGGCCCACTGAGGACGCGCTCCTGTAGCGCCTCCACCGCGGTGTTGCAGACTCTGCTTTGGACCATTTTACGGCGTGCTCTCGAGTGCGTTTTAAACGGCACTCGGAGGCCTCCCTTGAGTGGAAGGCAGCGTCTGGGGGTAATGACGCCGTCGGCTTTAGATTTGCGCAAATTGCTCTGGCACCCCCCCCCCCTCCTTCATCGATGTAATGTTCGTGTTGTGCAGTTTGGCGCATCTGCTTAATGTTGCGTTGTATTGACATGTTGTCTTCAGCTTTCTTTACGCGTTTGCCCTCCCTTTTGTTTGTCAGATTGAGACCTTTTGCATCGTCTATTATTTGATAATGCATTCCATTAGCTTGAGCATTGAATTGCGGTACACTTGGAACACTGGCATGCACAGAGGTCACATGCGTTTGGGAGTGAAGCAAGAGCTTTGAGATGCAGAATGTGACCACAGTGCTGAGTGATGTTGAAGCCCAGCAGGAGCAGCCCATGATGGTAAAGTTTATAACTTTCCTACACTGTTGTTTATCGCTCATGAATGTTAGCAAACTCTTCTTTTGTTGGTGGGTGGGGGGAAAAATCACAACCTCCAAATTGATTACTATTTGCAAGCTTGGATAATCTAAAAATACATTGGCAGCATGCGGTGATGATGGACACTTTCGCCGGATTCCTACGGAGTCTGTTTGTTACTTGGTATTTTGAGCAGTGGAATTGGTGTAAACATACAACGCTGTTGAGCTGTGAGTTGGCAAGGAGGTGGTTGGCCAGTAAGGGGGTTCAAAAACCCATCGTGAAAACTTTGCGGGTTATCCTCTCGCATGTCAGTGTCCACTCCTTTTTATTTGAATTTACCAAACATTCCATTGCAGGAACCTCTTAAAAGTTATTGGCTACATTGACACTTTGTGGGATAAACACATGGCAATATTATTCAAATGAAATTTGTAGGTAAAATTGATAAAAGATCTGATGGAAACCTTGGAGTAAAATATTACTTTGACAAACAAAAAAACACGATGTCATGTTGCCCCATGGCAGTTGCTAGAGGTCAGCATATGCTCCAGGACCTGGCTTGTGTTTGTGGCGTTTGCTGTGGATTTAGCCAACGAAACCACGGCATCCGCAGTGAGCTTGCTTAGACATATTTATTTGTGGTGCATTTTTAAGGCCATGTTTTAAAAATGTGAATCCTAAAAAAGTCTGCGTCTGCCGGTGAAGTAAGCGCTTGGGCAGTGCTTGTTTCCGTGGGTTGTCCTGAGCCATTAAGGACTTTTGAAAACTGACCCTAAGAACTCATCTGCATAAAGACCTGTCCAAATTAATGTAAAAAAAAGTCTGTAAAACATGATTACCAAATATTAGAAAATATTTTGGCATGAAATGCGTGTTAACTTGGTAGTAACTCAAGATATCACAGAGAAGATAAGTTATCAAAGTTCTAAGTCTAGTGTGTCTTTAAAATGAGCAGTTCTTATGAAAAACTGTGGCTCAGAAGCCATGAAAATGCAGTGCGCTGCAGGGCGACCCCTGTGTCCCGCCATGCACGCAGCCAAATAATCCGAGACCTTTACCTGAAGGCCACCGTGGAGTCGGCAACTGTGCCAATCCCCGCTTTTTCATCCAAGCGACACTGACATCCGGATGTCCCCGGAGGCTCGGTGTGTGCGTTTACATCTTTCCCGTGTGCGCCCCCTTCCCTTCCTTCCCTCCCCCCAACCAGCCTGGGGCTCATCTCGGACTCGTTCCACATGTTCTTCGACTGCACGGCCCTGCTGGCAGGGCTGGCGGCGTCCGTCATCTCGCGGTGGCACGCCAACGACGCCTTCTCCTATGGGTACGCCGTGCGCCAGCGCGCCCGCGAGCGTCCGGGGACCCTTCCTCAAAGCCTCCTCAAGCATCAAAGTGCCACCCGTAACGCTTTTCCCTACCCTTAGCCGTAGCGCTGATCTCAACATGAGCAAGGCCCCAGCTCTTCTGTTAACACCCGCGATTGTATAACTATTACTCCTATCTGTAGCCTCAACACCACAGCCTGAGCTCTACACGTAGCCGTGAACTCGTAGGTGCAATCGCAACCCTCGCGCTAAGCCGCCGTGTGTTCTGTGTCCGCCCCGTGTGCAGGTACGTCAGGGCAGAAGTGATGGCTGGCTTTGTCAACGGCCTCTTTCTGATCTTCACAGCTTTCTTCATATTCTCCGAGGGCATTGAGGTAAGCGCTTTGTTGTGGGTGTGACGATGCGTCGGATCGGTGGTGGTCCTTGTGCCCGCGATGCACCTGTGTCGTGTCTGTGAGAATCTCATTTACTTACCATTTGCATGTGCGCTGCACGTAATCCAGCAGCCATTATCTGGTCTGGTTTTGAGATTATTGGACTCGCCAGCAGATTACTGCTGTTATATTTATTTATACTTTTAAAGTAACATTGGTAGGAGACAATTGTCAGAATTGGTTGGGCTCTTTCTGCCCTTTAGAGTAGATTCCGTGTATCCAGAACGTTCTTTCACCAGTTTTCCTTTCCATCTGTGCAATATGGTTACACCAAAGGGCTCAACTGGGCAGCATGGTGACCAATGATTTTATCATCAACGTCATCATGCTGTGTTGGCAGGGTTATAGTTGCCCCAGAGGCTGACGTGATCTACAAAGCGACCCCTTTTTACAGTGCATCTGATATAGTCGTGTTTGTACTTCCTCTGCTGATAATGCGTACACTTTGCACCGATTGCGGTTGCAGTTTTCACGCCGAATGCTGTGGCTTGACCTAATTGTGTTTTGCATGGAGAAGTGCACTCATTTGTGCATCTTGAACCCTCTGTCGCAGTGTGTGTTACCTCGTGTGTCGTACACCCCATCGCCGTTATTTCCACAGCCGCTCCGTCGCGTTGCCGCTGTGCGCCCTGCAGCGGCGCTCGGTTGTGAATCGTTGCCGGCGTTCATTTTGAGATTCCCTCCCCGCTCTCTCCCCCTCCCCCGCCGGCTCTGGCAGCGAGCCGTAGAGCCGCCGGAGGTTCACCACGACCGCCTCCTCACCGTCTCCGTGCTGGGTTTCTTCGTGAACCTCGTCGGAATCTTCGCGTTCCAGCATGGCGGGCACGGCCACTCCCACGGAGGTGCGTGGTGGAGCGCCCGCACGTCCGTGTCCACACGTCCGCTCGCTTTCGATTTTTCTGTCGAGCTTTGCGCGAAACGCTGTGACGGACGGGGTTGTCGACGGAGTGGTGACGGAGAGAAGGCGCCCGGGAGGACTATGATCACCGTGGGCGGGGAGCAGGGAGGTCAGGAGTCGGAGGGTGGTGCCGTGAGACGGGGATGAATGGTGACGCTGTCAAGAGGATTTTGTCTTTTGTCATCGTGATGATTGGCACCCAACTAAAACCTGTTTCTGCTGGTTCCACGTGGAATCTATAAGCCACTGCCACCTTTTCCACAAATGGAAAATGAAAGTTGCCTAAGTGCAAGTTGGGCGAACCCGCATAATCGTCGCAGCGCATCGTGACCTCGTGTCCACTGCGAGTGGCTCCGAGACCAGCCACTGGATTTACAACCTCGACATTGAGTTGTAGTTGTTGTTAACAAGACCCAGTGGATCGTACGAGATTACTGCATTGACTAAAGCCTTTGCGGAGTGCAGGCTTTCTGCCATGGGATGAGACGCCAGACGATTGAACTGGGTGTTGAACTCATCGGCTGATGCCTGGCGTGGCTGCCGTATTTGGGGCAAGCAGCGAGTGAGTGGCTGATGCTGCTGTGTTTTTTCTGCGATCCCAGCGGGAGCAGGGAGGTGGAGCAGGTGACGGTACACAGAAGTAGGTCGACAGCTCAGCGGAGGTTTAGTGCGTCGTGTTGCTTGCAACTGTTTTCTCTGGGTACTCCCAGTTTCCTCCCATAAACAAATTAGCCAAAGAGAAATTGGAAAAACGTTGATTTGCTTTTCTAATGTTAATTACTTTTCATGATGCCACATTCCATGGAGTTGTTGGAATAATATTTTCACGTTGTTTTTTGCGTAGTTTTTATACATTGGTGTTCATTATTTAACATTCAGCTCTAATTAATCCCAGGTCTCCCTCGGTCCCGTTGAGCTCTTGAACTTGTTGTAAAGGTCATGTAGTCATCGACGATCCTCCTGAAAGAGTCTTGAGATTCGTTTGTGGCTTCACCAGGCAACTAAGGGCTGTCCTCGCAACGGGCATCCGAAGTTGTGACGCTCGATGGAGGTTCTTGGTGCCAATGTTTTGTCGACAGAACTGAATAATGGCGACAGACCCGGTGGTGGGTGTTAATAATGTCCGTGTCGTTTCTCTGCTCCGTAAAGGACACGGGCACAGCCACGCGCAGCACAACGGCGACAAGCAATCCCACGGCCACTCGCACGGCCAAGGCTCGTGCCACGGCCACCACGGTGAGTCGGGGCCTCGCGGCAACGCTGCCACTTCCTTTAACTCTCACGCGGCCATTTACTCGATGGGAGATGCCGACGATCCCTTGGCTTGAAGTCTTTAGATCTGTATAGCTTCTGTTGCTACCCGTTTGGCCTGCCACTGGAACTCACCGACCACGCAGTTCCGGTGTCGTAGCTCCCCTCGTGAACAGTTGGCACGCAGCGCAAATTCGACGTCTCACCACGCTCGCATGAAATGTTCACATTGAGAATCGACTCTGCACGTCTCTCGCGACAGATCGGCCCTCGCGAACGGAAATTCAAAGAGCGCGCCCAGTGTGGATTGTGGAAAGGCCAACCAGATTGTGGGAACGCCAACCAGCTGAAGCCATTCCCTAGCTAATCTGGACGAAAACTTATCGTCGGTTGCCATACGCAAGAGCGTGATGCTTCATTCGGTGTCCTTCCTGGTATTACGCTTGCTCGCATTTAATTTCAGCTCCGTGCCTGTTTCTTGATGCTACCACCATCATTGGTGTCTTCGTGGGAGGTCACGTCCCCATTCTCGCACTTCCGATTAGCATGGTTGGCTACGTATGGTGCAAAAGAAGTTCAACATACATGCATATCTTCCTTTTCTGTGCTGCTCTGGAAAAGCTTTTTCTGTGTGTATTTAAATTCCTATGTTTAAATAACAAGTCCTCTTCTTGGTTCTTTCACAAGTCCTGCCCACTTTTCTGTCTTAGTTTGCTTGGCATGCAGTGTATGACTCAATTCAATGGCGTGCGTATGCTGTAAAGCCTTAATCCGTAATCTTGTCAGTTGTTTACTTTGTATTTCAGCACTGCTTTATAGAGTATACGAAAGCAGATTGTAACGTTTTTGGTACGAACAACAGAGCCACAGCTGCCTGATCTGGTCACGGCTCTAAAGCCCAGCAGAGCCGGTCCCACTCAGCGCTTCGATGGGTGACCTCGCACTTGTAGCGCAGCATTGTTGACCTGTGCATGACGTATAGATGCTCGGTGACATTTACATTCCAGCCCCGAATCTTGCAGCGGCTTATTTTTTTGTCAGGCCTGACATTATACGATGCCTAACCCTAATGCCTGTCTAGACAATATGTAATTTTACCATTTGTAACTATTTAAAAACGAGCATATTTATAATCATCTTTGAGCCCAGTTCCCACAACGTCGTGGGTCACTTCCCACTGCCAGGGCAACACACGGACAGCACATGCTGCGCTACTTAAAAACTACTTGCTACTTTTTTTTATCTTGCCAGGTACGGCCCACTGAGCTTTATAACTCTTTTTTATGAAGCGAACTGGCAACAAATGTTAACTAAACTAAGTAGCTTATCATGTGGAAATTTATAACGGCAAAATACTCTTAAGTGCATGTTTCTTAATGTGGAGGGAAAAACCGGAGGACGTGGAGAAAAATCCATGTCACCACGGGGAGAACATGCAAACTGCAAATATACAGGCGTCAGGGTTGGGATCGAACCCACGACCTGATGCATACCAGGCGAGGCAGATAACATCTCGCGACCACGCTCGTGCGGTCAGCTGTGCAGCACAACCGCGTTCGTCGACAGTCGTGTAACGCGTTGGTCTGTCGCAGGTCATGAAGAGGAGGAGCCTTCCATCTCCACTGGCTCCAATAAGCAGATCCTGCAGGGTACGTGTGGCGGCGGTGGCAACCTCGGCCCGAGGCTTCACCCTGGGCACCACCAGAGGGCGCACGCGCACCGCTGTGTGCTCGTGTCCACGTGTGGGCGGTGGGGTTAGTGGTGACGTCACAGTGGTTCACGCCCTGCTGCTACGAACCTGGCTGGCTTCGGTGGTAATTGGAATCAGAATCTCTCTCTGGGCCTCCCCGAGGTCAACCCGGCCTTAATTGAGTATGTGGTGCTTTGTGTAAACATCAGCACTGGGGAGACAAAGGTGTCCGGGAGTGGTGCTGGCCACAGCACTTTCTTATGCGCCGCACACACATTTTTAAAGTGCTGACAGCACTGGCCCCAACAGTCTGTAGGCTGTATCGGGGATCTGTGTATGTGTGTGTGATTACGTGTGTGTGGGGAGTGGTGGCGTAGTGGTTAGCGCGCTGCGCTACAAACCCGGCGGCCCAAGTCCGATTCCCGCTCACAGCCAACACCAGTGATGATTATCTGAACCGGTCCTGGGCCTTCACTAGATCGACTCGGCCTCAAATTATATTTTGATGCGGTGTGTAAACATCGCCACTCGAGAGACAAAAGCAGCCGAGCGTGGTGCTGGCTACCCACCCCCTCTTGTGCCGTGTCCGCCTTCATAGGTGCTCCTCACTAACAGCACTTGCCCCAACAATCTGTTAATTCTATACGGGGGATCTTTGTGTTTTGCAGGTGTGTTCCTGCATATTGTGGCGGACACTGTGGGCAGCATCGGGGTGATCATCTCCACGCTGCTGATGCAGAACTACGGCCTCATGATCGCCGACCCCATCTGCTCCATGATCATCGCCGGGCTCATCTGCGTCAGGTGCCGCCCCGCGCCCCACGCCCTCCCAGCCCTATTGCTCTTCGCCCCCTCGGAGTTCGCTAGTCTGCCCGACCCTGGAGAGCAGAGCAGATGTGCCATTGTTCAGTCAACTGCACCCCCTGTTGGGTGTGGCGTGGGGAGTTAATCTGTGCTTCTGTCGAGCAGCACCACATTAATGCGCTCCACGTTCTGACTCCTAATCCTGGGTTGCTATCGGAGCTTGAGCCGAGATCTTGTGTGTGCAATGAGGTGATGGTGCTGTCAGTTCAATCGCCAACATGTAACTTGTCCGATGCAAGAAGTACATTTTACCGAGTAATTATCGGCAATAATGCTGCCTTGTCACTCCGTGACTGCGCTAATGCTGTCTGCATGTCGTCCACCCGTCACCGGCCTGGGTAGCATCATGCGCCACTCGTTTAAGGTTTTGGCCGGTTACTTCGTTCTTGCCCTTGAGTGACATCGTTGTGATGGCACAGGTAAGAGACGTCAAGAGCACCCCTGGCGCTCCGTGTTACCAAGTTCCCCGTTGGGAACTTGCTAAACGAGCGTGTGTTTGTAAGTCTCGTGTCGAGTACGAGACTGGACCCTCCCCCCCCACCCTGGTGTGGCTCCTCGGCCTTGTGGATGACTTTACCACCGATGTCCGTGCCGGTGTGATATTACGTCACGGGCGTCACATTCAGCTCCGTCGCGGTGCTTCCCTGGAGAAGGTGCATCCCGTGACGCCGCGTGGCACGTGTTGCGCGTTGCTGCCCGGTGTTTCCCCCCCCCGTAGGCTCGGATTTGGAACGATGTGCCGGTCTCGATGGCTGACGCTTGGTTTCCTGATGGCGCCATAGTACCCCGGCGTGGCCTGCACGATTCGCTTTTGCAGGGCTCCGGTCGAAGCCGTCGGCGTTCTGTACCCAACAGTTGTTAGATTTTGGTTTTGATGCGGCTAACTGCTCGTGGGCGACTTCGTAGACCACGAGCGATGGAAATTTGCACGTTTAAATAACCGAGTGCTCCCCCTTTCACCACCCCGCACCGACCAGCGTGGTGAAGTATGGTCAAATAATGGCCATGACCTCTACACCTGTGAGAGCCTCTTAAACTTCATTGTCTCCTGTAGAGTAGAAACGAAGGGGATGTGATGGTCGAGGGAAGGTGGTTTATATTTCAATGGCCTCATACTGTATTGGTCGGTGCCAACGTTGACGCTTCCGAACCTTGGTGTGCACAGCTTGGTTTCGCGCTGCAGTATCATATAGAAACTCTTTCTTGACCTTGAAACACCGTTCCGAATTAAAATTGAAACATATCCCCCAAAGTAAGCTGCTGCTGCTGCGTAGCACTACAAGGCAGCTCTGCCGTCAAATTATTTCTGGAAAGGAAAAGCGTTTTAACAAGCTTGTGCTTGATAATTGGTTCTTTACCCTTCTATCTGGCAACAAAACTGACACCTTTTTGCAAGGAGTCATGTTTGCATAGACCGCAATACCTGCAGTCATAAATACAAACAAAAGACATAACTCTGATAATGTGCACTGTCCCTGAAGTTGATTGGTCCACACCCGAGACAGCTTTCCTTTTGTGCTTTTTGTGCTTTTTATTAAAAGCTTGTGCTTTTTATTTAAAAGTCGTTTTTTTTGGGAAATAAAAAGTGAATGTTATTGCGCCAGCTGCTGAAAGAACGGACAGAGTGACTCACAGGGAGGGAGTGTGGGACAAGCCACCGTGACGTTGAAGGTTTACCACAATTCAAATCTCTTGGCATGAACCTGTGAAAATCACGGAAGGAACTTGCAGTGAACAAGAACTCATTTGTGCTATTTCGTGGTCTACTGTATTGCTGCAGACTGGACGGCCGTGCCAATGAGGGCTACCGCCCAGGCACGCTTCATGGGAGATCTCTCGGCCTGCCCCAGCAGACTTAACGTTTGACACTGGCCTTAAAAAGAAAAGGTGGATTATGCGACGTTTCGGGCAATGGGTCTCCTTCACGGCACACAGGGGACCGAGACGTGGAGTGCCCCCCCTCCCCACCTCTTGTGCTGCCCGAAACGTCATCTATTATTTACTCTTTATTTTAAAGACCACAGTGTTATTGATGAATGCGTTGAGAGTTTTTTTTAAGTTGTGACGAGCCAGTGGTGCACAGGCAAGCGCAGTGTCACCAAGCCATTTGAGAGCTGGTGGTTGTCGGTGTTTTTCACACTGGTACGCTGCTCTGATAGTTTTTTGCTCGTGCTGTTACGGCTCTCCGCGTTGTGTTTTGCGCTGCCTTTGGCTCCCCTTGCTGGCGTTGACGTCTGCGATGGTCGTGGTCTGAGATCGTCATCGTGGCCTGCTATCATGGTCGGAATAATAACGTTTACGCCACCAAGATATCGACCTTGGGACCTTTGCCAAGGTCAACTCTTCCCAGTGATGTCCTGGGCAGGAGCCGGCCCACTTTGCCGGCTCCCGCCCAGGACACCGGCGTGCCCAGCGGTGGCAGGTGGTGGTTTACCGGGGCTCGTGGGAACACTGTAGCAGCCGCTCCACCCTCGCGTGCCTGTGGTGATTCACCCGCGGTCGTCATGTGTGAGAAACTCCCGCTGCGGTCGAGGCCGGTGCACGCGACCACCACCGCCGCTTTCCTCGGAAGAGCGTGGAGCTTTGTTGAGGACGGCACGGCGAGCGCAGAGCGCGTGGCACGCGGCCTCCTCCGCACCTCGCCCACGCTTGGCCGACACTCCCTCCATCAAAACTACACTCGATTTATTTATACATTTGATTTTATCAGCACTGTGCACACACTACAATCTTTTTTACTTCTTCTGCTGCTTGTATTCCTGTTGTGCTGTTGGCTTCGTGCCCATACATCGCTCGAGGCATTTATCAACTTAGAAGCAATTCAGATTTTTGCTTTCAGTTCCTGGCACGTTGTTGGAACATTGCTGGATATTTATTCATTTTTAGATCGTCCTGGCAAAAGTGCTGCCTGCACTGAGGGTTGTGGGTGGCACTGCCGTTGGGATCGAAATCACGTGCCCCTTAATTCTAGATCTCGTGCCCCTTCATTCTAGACCGTGTAAGCCTACGTTGCCCCCGGCGCCTGAGAATCTCCTCCAGCTGGGCAAACGGTGTCCACTGGCTCGTGCCCCTGCCCAGCGGCGTCGCCATTTGGTGGCGCATTTGGCGCGGGGGGGGGGGGGGAATCTGAGGGGGCCACGCCAGCCGCTCCGTGCCTCTGCCGGTGCCCCTCGTAGACTGGCGCTGCTGAAACGAGCGAGTTCCATCGTCGCCGCTGGTGTTGGCCGGCGTGGTTAGCGGGGACCTCTCCACACTGCAGTGTTTCACTGTCAAACTTGGTACCAAATAGCCCTCGGCAGTCTCAACAGACTAACAGGCGGACGTACCACTGTTTTACTTGTGTGTGTGTGTACGTGTTGCAGTGTCATTCCTCTCCTGCGAGATTCAATCGGCATCCTGATGCAAAGAACGCCGCCCAGCCTGGAGCCTGTGCTGCCTCAGTGCTATCAGAGGGTAAGACCCCCCCCCCCGACTCCCCTTGCTCCTCCTCCCACCTGCACCCACGAGCGCCTCTCACTCCCCTCCGCCCCCACGCCGTTACCTCTTCATCAGTTCCCTACGCTTGAGATGCGGTTCGAGTCTCCAGTTGGAACCGAGGAGGAACGTCGTTTTCACGCCCGTGTGTTCGCGGTGGCGGCTAAACGCTTCGACGTTAGCTCTGCGATCCACCAGTCCGCCCGCGCGTGAACGTGCGCGCGTGACCGTGCGTGCGTGACCGTGCGTGTGTGTTCGTGTAAGCCTACGTTGCCCCCGGCGACTGAGAATCTCCTCCAACTGGGCAAACGGTGTCCGCTGGCTCAGAGAAGATATCAAACATAAGTCTCTAAGCTTGAAAGACTTTTCCTGCTGTTGGCACGTCCCCTTGACCTGCTGCATATTCAGGAAGTCAGGAGAGCACTTAATTTGCCGGTGACTGACAAACATCATATCGGCTGATGAAGCGGCGTGGTGGTGAGCACGCACCGCACTCTGAACCCCCCGGCCACGTGAGTTCGGCTCCCAGCAGCAGCTGACATGGGTGGCGAGCAGTGTCTGAACCATCCCTTCCTCCGGTAGGGAAGGCGTAACAAAGTATGGTCGAACTACTTTTGGGACTGATGTGACGGTGGGATGCCTTAATGCAGCAGTGGATTGACAGAGCTGTGAATAACCGTTTTGGTTAAACTCCGCCCGAGGTGTCGGTGTAAAAATCGTCAATTTATAACCTGGTTACTCGGCACGAAGAGTGTCCATTAGGATGGCAGACACTGTAAAATAATTCTTTTTTGAGCACCCTCATTCATGCCCTGGGCATCTCGGAGCACTTTACATCTGACGGGCAACTTGCATCTCATCTCAAACATTCAAAGAGCACTCCCAGTAGCCGCTGTCCCCGTGTGGCAGATGGTGACTCAGCACTTGCCCCAACAGTCTGTTAAAGGTTATACGGGGGGGGATCTTTGTGTGGTGCAGGTGCAGCAGCTGCAAGGCGTGTACAGCATCACGGAGCCTCACTTCTGGACGCTGTGCAGCGACGTGTTCGTTGGCACCGTCAAGCTCCACGTGGCGCCAGACGCCAACGCCAGGTGGCTGCTGAGCCAGACTCACAGCATCTTCACGCAGGTGCGCTCGCTCGCTCGCTCACACTCGCCCACTCGCTCACACTCACCCTCTCACTCGCTCACCTGCTCGCTCACACTCGCTCGCTCGCTTGCTCACCCACTCACTTGCTCACACTCACTCACTCGCTCGCTCGCTCACCTGACTGCACCACGGCTCCTGCGTAAGCGTGGCCGGAGTAAATTCAGGTGCTAAACTAAAACGGAATTACAACAAAACCCAATCCTTATCATGAAAAGTGACCTCAACACATTCGTCAATAACACTGCCCTTAAGAGGAAAAATATCTAATGGGTGACTTCTCGCAATGACCCTTCTCTGCTTTGTTGGACAGGGCCATTGCCATGAACCTTGCTGGGAATCAAACTCGGGTCCCACGGTTGATGGCGCAGCCCGATAACCACTGCGCGGCTGCACGTGTGAACTCGCGAATTGCCGTGTGGTTGACTTGTTTGTGTTTGTGGGTGTGTGTGTGCACGCGTGTGTTTGTGTGTGTGTCCGTGTGTGTGTTTGTGTGTGCGCGCGCATGTGTTCCAGGCTGGAGTGAGGCAGCTCTACGTACAGATCGACTTTGCTGACGTCTAGGCCTTAATTCTCATCCGCAAAGCAGCGGCTGCCCCCTTTTTAAATACCAAGGGACCAGAATTCATTTCTTTTAAAGCATTTTTGTTGCGTCTTATTGATTGAACATGTTTAACCCTGTGCCATGAATCTTAAAAAATATAAATATATTTAAAGACCATAAATGCATGGTGTTATTTATACACCAGTTGTACATTCTGTTTGTCCTTTTTATGTAGGACGCAGGGAATTACTTGGGACCTTATTTGCATTAATTTATATTGCTCCTAATGACTGTGGGGTGAAACGGTGGCACAATGGTTAGCACAATGCGCTGTGAGCCCAGCAACACGAGTTAAAAGTCCGTGTTATGCTGTGTGTCCGAGAAACGTGCTGCCAAGCGTCGATTTTGTTGGTGTATTCAAAGTGCCGATTTAGTTGAGACCGTTTTGCTTTCATGACCGATGCTGTGCCTGTCTTGGCGTCCCACGCAGGGTCTAGCAAGGTGACGATGCCGGACGGTCATCTCATTCAGCCAGACGCATAATTACCTTCTGAATGTGTTTATTTAACAACCTGTGTTTAAATCTGTCATTAATTTAGAGCAAGGAAAGCAGACTCTTGATTGTTTATAGTTTCATGTTCATATTAATTATTTTTGTTATTTACAAAAGCAGTAAAGAGAAACTAGTTTTAAGAGTCCTGCTACCTGTCATATCTGCATCTCGCTGCGTTTGTGTCCGTGCTGCATACCCGGGAATCACGTTTCTGCCTGCAGATGCAGCCAGTTGTTGTCCTGGTCTTCCGATGACGGTGTCCCTTCTCTCAAGGCCTGTGGGGGGGGGGGGGGGGGGGGGCGCGCGCACACGTGGCGGTTTTGCTAAACACACCTTGGCTTGGCGATATTGCCAAGGCTCTCAACAAGAACATTGTTGTTCTTTTGCCGAGTCGCGACCGAGCTATCTGGACCTTGAGAAGGCATTGACTGGAGCAGTGCTGAACTTTTACACCAATTTTTTAAGCAATAACAAACCAAACCACCCCCATCAATGCAGTGAAGATTTGGCTCGGGGAAACTTCCAAATGTTCCCAGTCCGCTTGCGACTGCTAGACCTGACTCGTGCCAAACTCATGTTGAGGAGTTGTCTTAATAGAAACACCGGCATGGATTTTGATTGGCTCTGTCTTGCGTTATTGTCTGTGCCAGATACGTGGCGCACGTTAAACTGACCCACGTGTGTGTTCGCGCGCTAGGGCTGAGAGAAGCGGTGTCTCTTGAAGCTAGGATACACGGGGACGTAAGGGCCCTGAATGGATGAGCCCTCAATGTGAACAAGAGGCTGGAATTCCAACCTAAGGCGTTTTGAAACGTGTTTTCTGAATCCTTGTGGCGTCGCGATGTTCGGGCGTGCTCGCAACGAGCTGCAGCGTCTCTCTCGCAGCCTTGATATCGCCACAGAGCTCGCGTGCAGCCTACAGCGGTGGCCATCCGCACGCCAATTCAAGTATCCGGTGCTGCACGCAGACCAAGAAGAGGATTTCTTGCGACCGCCTGACCAATAAAAACTGGCGCAGCAGTCGCGTGACCGCGTGAAGAAAATTTAAAATCAAAATAAGGTTGTGTAGTCTGGGGGGAAATGGGGAGGAAAATGGTGTTCACACTTTTGAATATGGTGCTGTCATTTTCAAACGCTTAGAATGCACCGGAACTTTGTTGGACTTCAAAAGCTAAGCAGAATTGAGCCTTCATAGTGTTTGGATCTTTGACCACCATACTCAGTAGCAGGTGTTGTAAGCTACATTGTTGGAAAAGGGCAGTTTAGGACCAAATCCATTGTTTACAGGACTGTGCTCCCAACAGCTATGGCTCCCTGCCTTCAGTGACCGGCAAGGTGAAGTATCGTCAAATAACCCTCGCTGCCCACATGGAGAGTGTAGGCCCTCGTCCCGCAGTGAAATTAACAAAAGGGCTGTACTTGTCGAGTGCAAGTAATCTTAAGAGTGATTTGTACAAAAAGCAATACTTGACCGTTTGTCTTCGCTTCTCGGACATGAGCACCGCGCCAGTCACGTGGGCTTGGTCCGAGCCCAGTCCTCGATGGGAAGGTCGTGCTGATTGTACTGCGTAGAACTTCTTTCACATCGTACGTAGCCAATCGTGCTAATCGGAGGAATGAGTTTTCACGCTTGATGTGTTTGCGGTGACGGTGAGGCTACAAAACGCTGCTCTTTAGCCACTTGTTGGGGGGGGCCTTGATGAACCCATTCGACCTCGTCCACTGAACCCTGTTCCAGTCTAAAGTGTTTACCGAACCGGCCTTAACCGCTCAGCGAGCTGCCCGCGTGGCTGCTGCCCGAGCTGCAGCGGAATCTGCCGTGAGACACCGGGGTAGAAGACGTTTTCGACACGTGGTGGTCTCAAGGATGAATGTTGGTTGCTTTATTGAATGCGTGCTCTGTTGCTGGACCGCTGTGAGATCCGCGTACGTGTGCCCTGCAAATATTCTCGAGAGGAGCGTCGCGTTACTCCTGGCATTTGTTTGTAGCCCGGTGCAACATCGGGGAAGGACTTTAAATTACAACGCCATCGCTCGTAAAATCCATATCTGGTTTTGAAACGTGAAACATTAAATCTCAACTCATTAGGGTTTTTATTCGTGGCCCAGGGAAGTGGAATTGGAGATGGTGTGTGGGACCACGCTGCGACTGACAGGGGAGTGGTTGTGTGTAAAACCACGACCCTTGATCTCGGCCTTCCACAGAGACACGACAGAGTTCTCGGTGGAACGATCACTTTTTGTTGTTTGAGCGCGTCTCGGTGCACACATACAAACCTGCGCCATTCTTGGTGTATTTTACTGTCCTTGTTTACAAAATATTGTATTTTATTGGGCACAAGTACACATTTACGTAAACTAACGCGAGAGGGAGATCTGCGTGTAAACCATCAAAAAAATTAAAATGTGAAGATTTTGTCATTTTAAACGGCAGTTTTAAACCATTTTTTTCCTTTAAAAAATCAAGATGTCAGCACTTTGCGTACTTATTAAACATGTTGGAACGTCTACAACTGGCGATTGCTGTGCGTTCTTAAGCCGTCGGTACATCCTGAACGTTGCTCATTGTATAACCTCGTACATTGCTCGCAAAGTGTCGTTGAAGTGACGACCTGTGTGGACTAACGCGTGAATCTCGGCGTGCCGTCACCGCTGCAGTGGGAACGAGAGAGGACGCGGCACAGACAATCCAGTGCGCAGCTATTTGAGATGCCACGTGGTGATGCTGGACGGAACACGCCACCGCAAAGAATTGAGTGCAGGGCGCGTCTCGTCAGCTGTCTCTCGCGAAATGTTTTAGTCTCAAGCGATGTACACATTTCTCGAGCCGATTGGCTGCTACTTGCAAACCAACGGTGCTTGCCGCATGTAGCAAAATGAGGCCTTCGTGACCACTCGATTCGCGTTATCGCGAAATGTTATCTCTACATTCCATAGTTGCATCCGCGTAGTGTAGGCCAAATGGAAGTGAAGTCGTTAGAAATCGTGGAAAGAACCTATTTACGTGACAATCCTTACTAATTGGCTGTGGCGGGTGGTGGCGGGTTTAACGACACCACATTTATATTTACACGATCTCACACAAACAAACCTCTTATGAACCTCCTGTTAGCTTGGCAGACACCCGCCCCGGAAGGATACGCCGCTGAGCAGCTGCTGCTGCTGTGACTTGAATCGGTGTCTCTCCTCGTCAAGACGAAGACATTTCTTGCGGGGCTACTTGGCGCAAGTTGGTTCACTGTCTCCGTGTATTTCTTGAGATCTGAAAGAAAAAAAAAATCCTTCACTTCTAAAAAGGGACAATTCAAGTACGTGGGCCACATTTATCTCGCTCCGATGTCCATGCAGTCATTGGTGAGAGAGCATCGCTCGAGAATCTGGCTTCTTCATCTGAAGATGGTGACCCAGACGCTGAACCCGTGCGTTCAGTGGTGCTGAATTTTCTCAATTGCCAAATAGTTGTGTAAGGTAGCCATTTGTGCACGTGCCTTCTTACCAGATTACTTCTGTGCCCTTCGCTACCGTGCGGCCGGCAGCAAACTTGTGACAATCTGGTTGAGCGACTGGTGCACCGTGTGGCGGTGGCGGACCAAATCCGACATTGCGAAGTCGCACACGGAAAAATCGTGACCCCCTCCCGCCTCCTTCAGTGGTGGATACAAAGGGGTGGAAAGGGGGCGATCGCCAAGCCGATCGAGACCCTGACATTGATTTTATTTTATTGAGAATTATCGGAGAAAATGTTGAATCTTTATTTTTCATGAATGTATAGGGCCCTATTTAAAGGGCTTCATTTCGGGACCGCTCCCTCTGGGGAAGTTTCTAGATCCAACCTCTGATCCCCTTGTGCAAAAATTGTGTATCCCCATGTAAATACCGTTTGCCAAATCTCGTTTTTCTTTTCTTTAAAAGAGTGTGTAACTCGTCGGTTTATAGGCTAACAGGGAGTGTTAAAACAAATAAACCCACGTGAAGCCACCACTGCTGTTGCTGTTACTTCCTTTTGAGGGTCAAGGGCACGTTGAGAGTGGGGCTGTGGAAGGCCACGTTCCAACTCCTGGGCACTTCGCGGCGAGCTATCGATTGTCTCCAGTGATGGAGTGCTGCTTTGAGGCAAAACGGCCTTTTAAAAGACGGAGACGCTTTCAATCATTTGTTTTAAGTGCAGCGGTTCCACGCGGCTTAGAGTTTGGTGGGGTCAGATGTTGGCTGGGTGGCGTGGGGACACGAATCCAAAGTCTTGCACGGGAACACTGAGCCACGATTGGCTGACAGCCTGCATATGAATCCAAAGCTTGCACCCAAGATCATATAAATAATAGTGTTCGTGTGTGGTAGGGTTGATTCTGTGTAAACCGATTCAGATAGCTCTGAGGGTAATTATCTCATTTGCTCGCAAGTCTAAGCTCTTCATGGTTTAGTTAGGATAGTCCATAACTACTACGAGTGAGAGAGTGTTTCTGCTCACACAAGGTCTGGGACAGCACTCATCGTTACCAGCGGTGGAAGTTCCACATTCATATAGCGGGACCCATATGATATATCGTGGTACATAGAATAACCAGTACAGAGTTCCAAAGTTGTGCTTATTTTATTGGCCACACGTGGATGGTGATGGGCCAGGTGTAGTTGTGCGTTCATCCGAGGGGACTACGATCCATTAGCTGTCCAAGGGACCCTTGGAACGGCAGTGCTGTCGTTTGGGTCTCTCCACGACGGTGGCACTGGGGTAGCTGAGGTTGACCGCTCCCGTGGTTTTCGTCGATTTACACCCAGAAACTCCGAGGAGTCGTCACTGCACGTGTTGCGTGCCACTATCGACTGCTGCTTGTCGGTGGTTTCTTTTTTTTACGAAGAGGATAACGATCGGCTTTGTGCCTGGATGCGAATGATGGCAATTCGGGATTACGGAAATTTGTGATAACGGCGACATCAAAATTCAAGAAAAACTCCGCAATTGCCGTTCTTAACTCGGCCAGGCAGGAAAAGGTCACGTCTGTTATCAGATTTGCCTGCTGCCGTTATCGGCTACCGGTAACAATGGCCGTGCCACACTCGCACCGAGCCCGGTGTGCAAGAGCCCAGCGGCGCTCCTGAATGTGACCGTTCAACACCGGTGATGCCAATGGTCCCCGATGCCCCTTTCGGGGCGAGCGCTTCCCAAAAGAAATGTGCGGCCGTAACGACGTCGTCAACTTACGTCTACCTGCTCGCTACTCAGAGGGGCTCTCTCTCTCTGGCACGTGGTGGTGGGTGGGGAGATTTCTCGTGGCCCTTCGGTGCGGCGCTGCGAGCGCACGCGATCCGTGAGTCACCGCTGGAACAAACCGCGCCACGTGCCGCCGCCACCGCCGCCACGCGCCGCGGGGACGTCACAAGAGTGAGTCAGTGTCGTCGTGGAAGTCGCTGATCCGACCACACGACTGATGTTGGGTTCTCAAAGGCAGCTTTGGCAGTGGAGCTGAGCGAGCTCCGTGTTGTGCGTGCGTGTGCGCGGTTTGCATCGTCGGTTGGTCCACCGTGATGTCCGATGTTTCACTCCACGCGCCGGAAGCTCAGTTCCTCGCAGAGGTTGCCGGGTACGTGGAGCAAAACGTCGGACATCCAAAAACGCAACCCAAACACACATTCGACAGCTCAAACTCCGCTCCACTCGCGAGTTGCCTTTGAGAACCTCAAATCATGGCCGAGAACCCCGACCGTGAATCGGGTTCCTGCACAAGGTGCCAGCACGTGGAGCTAAAACGTCGGACGTCGCAGCGACCAACGCGCGGTACGACACGAAGACGCACCGGAGAGATGTACAGCACGACCCGCGAACACCTACGCAGTCCGTGTTGTTCGAGTTCAGTGCCGGACTAAGCTAGTGCGGGGCGTGTAGCATGTGTTGTTATAACGGGGCCCTAAATATAAAAAACATATTTTCACTTGCAGAGTAAAGTAATTGTATTCTTTCACTTGCTATACAGCCAGATAATACGACAAATCGCTAACCTTAAACGCCCAGTCGTTCGTAAAAATTGAAGGCGGTATAGTACTATAGTGATAGAGCACGCCGAGTACGACGCTCTGCACACCGCACATCATCCTTGTTGTGCTTCCTCGCACCTCCGACTGGCGCGGTTGGCTACGTACGGTGCGAACGAAGTTCAACATACACACATACAGTTTGGAAAAGTCCGAAAAGGAGACGACGTCAAAGTCTCCGAAACGGGAATGTAGCAGCAATAAAACTCAATACATTCGTCAATCACGCTGCGTGGCCTTCAACAGGCAACATATACAACGGGTGACGTTTCGGGCAATGGCCCTTCTTTGTGGGTCAGTCCATGAGCAGGGATTCTTCTTACCACACTCACGAGTCGCCAGTGTGAGCAGGTGAGTTTGCTGGGGACAAGGGAGCTGAGACTCGAGGACACCACACCAATGTCGAGCAGCGGTTTCACTCAGCGAAAAGCTGGGCGTGTAATTTGCCCTCGACTGATGCATCTCTCATTTGCTTAGACGAAGGGTATGAAGCATCCTATCGCAAGCCCGATCTCTAACGTGACGACGGCATTCTGACATTTCACTTGAAATGGTTCGCCAACAAAAAAACGACGTTTGCACGCTCCGTTATTTCCCCGTGACTCAGAGCGCGCCGCCGCGCTCCTGGGGAGCAAGCGGAGGCTGCCTCCAGCCTCGGGCGGCCCGGCGGTGAGGAGGCGACTCGGGGCATCATCCCCGCAGTGGTCGGCCTGGTCGCCCGCACCACCCGGCTCCAACGTCGCGATGCGGCAGGGATGTTGCTGCTGCTACTGCTGTAGAGAGTTGTAGGTGATGCTCGCTGAGTTGACGTGGCAGGGATGTTGTTGCTGCTGTAGAGAGTTGTAGGTGACATCCTGCTGTGTTGATGTGGCAGGGCTGTTGTTGCTGCTGTAGAGAGTTGTGTGTGATGTCTGCTGTGTTGACGTGGCAGGGATGTTGCTGCTGTTGTAGAGAGTTGTAGGTGATGCCCGCTGAGTTGACGTGGCAGGGATGTTGCTCCTGCTGTTAAGAGTTGTAGGGGATGTCTGCTGTGTTGACGTGGCAGGGATGATGCTGCTGCTGTAGAGAGTTGTAGGTGATGTCTGCTGTGTTAACGTGGCAGGGATGTTGCTGCTGTAAAGAGTTGTAGGTGATGTCTGCTGTGTTGACGTGGCAGGGATGATGCTGCTGCTGTAGAGAGTTGTAGGTGATGCCTGTTGTGTTGATGTGGCAGGGATGTTGCTGCTGCTGTAGAGAGTTGTAGGTGACACAGACCCCCCACTCTGTGCTACTGTTGGGTCTCACCGGACGGGCTGTCTCGTCGCCCCAATGCTTTGCTCTGATCTCTCTCTCTCTCTGTGTGAGCCACGTGCGTTCTCAAACACGCTGGCAATCATCGGCTTCATTCCATTGAACTCTGTCCATGATTTTACTCAATCGCTTTACATTAGATTCTCCTAGTTGCATCCAATTGTTCTACTTGTATATGTAACGTGCTGTTATTTAC